AGGAGGAGGAGGAGGAGGAGGAGGAGGAGGAGGAGGAGGAGGAGGAGGAGGAGGAGGAGGAGGAGGAGCGCGAGGAGGAGCGCGAGGAGGATCGAGGTCCGAGGTTTTAGAACGTGTTCGTAGGATCTCGGCGGCTTTCCAGCCTCGGGATGCCTTCCAGCGGCTGCGCCTCGCCAAGAGCGTTCTGAGGGTGCCAGGACCGTCCCGACTTGCCGCTGGAGACCCGAGTTGCGACCCGAAAGCCAAATGACGAGGATCGGGGATGCTCTCAGGGGGGATGGATCGACCCCCAATCGCCCACTGATCTCCGATAGGAGCCCTATACGTAGCCCCACCTGGCCCAGGAGCGTGGGGATTTGCTATCGGGGGCCTACCGCCGATCTATCGGCGATGTGTCGCCGATCCCAGGTCGACGTTCCCCCCCCCCCCCCCCCCTATGCCAGTCTCCCCTTATCGTCCTGGCTCAAGCCGTTTTGGCTGAGGCGGCCTGGCTCAAGACCTAGCCGAGCGTTTTCCAGAGCCCCTCCAATCCACGAGCACTGACTCCATCTTGCTTCACGCACGGGTTTTGAGAAGGCGTCCTTCCGCGCCTTCGTGGGCCCCCTCGTCGTGGTCCACGGCGCGGAGCACGCGGCCGCTCGTGTGCTGTCCACGGCCCCTGCCGAGCTGTGGTGGCAGTCGGGGCGGAATTGCCCGCTGCGGGCCGCAGGGGGCGTGGGGTGTGGTGGGAGTGCCAGGGCTACGGGTTGGTGGGGCAGGCACCCTGGCTCCCCTCGCATTCCCTGGGGGGGACGGCCAGCTGCCCCGGCCGGCTGCACGGCCGGCTTCGCCGCAGCCATTTCAGCCCCCAGCTTCGCCGCTGCGCACGGATTGCGCAGGGTGCCCAGGCCTGGATACCCGAGCCTGGCCCGGGCAGCGGGGTGCAGCTCGCCACCGTTGACGACGCCGCGGATCCGCAGGGAGAAGAACACCACAGAGGTGTGGGACGCTCTCTCTCTCTCTCTCTCTCGCTCTCGCTCAGCTCTGGCCTGCTGCAGACCTGCAGTGGCAGATAAATCAAAGCCATTCCACCAACCGCACAGTCCGCCCCCGCCTCCTGCACCATGAACTGCGAGAGGCCAGACGCTGGTGAACAGCTGACCTCCATCGTATTCACTCTCGCAGCTCCGGTCAGGAACGTCCAGGCTGGCGTCGCACTCTTGCCCAGGCACTCCGCCAGCCAGGTAGCCTGAGAGTCGGTCAGGGCTTTCACATCCCCGGCCCGTCTGGCCCAGATGGGCCGCTCGACGACGAGCTCTTCTCCTCGACTTTCTGCACCCTGGTCGTCAGCACGCTCATGGCCATCTTCACGTCGCCCAGCAGGTCGATGATCTGCTCCTCCTTGGTCTTCGCGTTGGTGTCCATCTCGCTGGATTTCTCCCGCATGGACCGCGTCGCCTTCGCCCGCTGGGGGGACTGCTCCTTGATCAGCAACTAAGCATTGTCGTGCTTGTACGCCTTGATCCTCGCCTGCTGCGGGGAGCTCGAACTTCATCTGGTTCATGCCAGAGGAGGAGGAGGAGGAGGAGGAGGAGGAGGAGGAGGAGGAGGCCCCCTGCGAGACCAACCAGTCCGTGATTCGCTGGAACTGGTAGCTGTTCATGCTGACCATGCATCTGGCGTGCCCCCGCTCCCGCTCCAGCAGCTTCCAGATCGTCTTGCCCTGGTGTCTGCCGAACGGCATCGGGTCGCACCCCTTGGCCCTCGCCAAGTTGAGCTCGTGCCTCTCTGTGCCGAGGATCTGAAGGTCGCCCCGGGTCTTCTTGCCATCCAGGACGCATCCCAGGGCCTTCGCATCCGTGACCAGGTCGGTGTGCCTCTCGTGGCGAACAGGAGTTTCACAGATGGGCATGGCCTTGAAGATCTAACGCAGCCTGGCCCGCAGCATCTCCGCCCTCATGCTGAAGCCGTCCTCGTCCCATTGCGCCAGCTCGGCCAGGAGCTCGGCCTTGCGCATGTTGGACGTGGCCAGGTGCTTTGGCATCGGACCCTCCTTCCGAAGGCCGAGGAAGCCCTGCTGGGGCTCGAGACGTTTGAACCACAGCGCTCTGTGCTTCAGTGTTGTAGACCATGTTGGATTTAGACCCCTTCAGAGGCCCAGCTGTTGTCGTAGAGGATCTCGTGTCGCCTACTGTGGAATTGACAGGCCCGTTGTGAGAACTCTAGGCGGCTCCTGTAGGTCCCTAAGTTGACCTCGAGAAACACGTAGATCCCCCACGCGCACCTGACGACATGATCTGTGGCCTCACAGGTGTCCTCTGGAACCCCGACGTCGTGCTCTCAGAACCCGTAGATGTCCTTTGAGTCCCCGTAGACGCTCTGCAAGGTCCCAATGCCGTGTTTGGTGTCCCCGTCGAGCCCGTAGGTACCCTCGAACTTGAGACCTGACCCAGACCACCGCTGGACACTGATGCCATCATCGCGGAAGGTGATGGTGAGGAGGGGGGGTGGATGTATGGGGCACTCGACTACTGCGCTCCATCGCCTGCCGGTGACTCGGCAGGCCTGTCTGAAAAAGATGCTACGCCTCGACGCAGATCGCAATACGCTGGCCTCTCAGCCGCGGCCACATCACCCAGCAAGTCGCACGTCAGGTCGATGAGGAGGCGGCCATTCCGCGTTCAAGGAAAGGTCAACATCTTGAGCGGGTCGATCTTCTAGAAGATACCGCCGCCTGCGTCGAAGTCCACGATCGGCCCCAGGTTTTTCAGGGTCTGGATCGACACCAGGATCGGTATGCCTTTGGCGTCGATCGCGTGGACGAGAAAGACAACGAACTCGCCTTTCCCCAGGAGGGAGAACTCGGCGCGGCACGGGACACGGTTGACCTCGCCGTTGCCGAACTTGCAGACAGGCCGGGTCGTGAGGGTCCACCTCCATGGGCGGATGACCGCGAGACACCAGGACGTCGTTGAGCGTCTCCGCGGCCTCGACGCCGCCAACGGTCTTGGTGGCCCCGCAGTCCATGATGCCGTGTCAAGTCTCCGACGTCCGCTCCACGAGGCACGCCACCGGATCTCAGGATCGTCGAAGTCCACCGTGTTGCCACAGGCCTCGACACTTTTGGCTCGTCACCGTCCTCCACGTCGTAGCAGGTCTTCGCCGTCAGCACGAGACCCGTGAACCTGCCGCCAGCGCCTTTGCCACCAGCGCCTCTGTCATTGTGCAGCTTGGGGTCAGCTTTGTCTGGACATGATCCAGTGCGATGGCCGCCACCATACTTGAGGCACGGTCCCTGACGGCCCTCGTCTCGAGATTCGCCACCGCTTCCAGAGAACTTCCTGCCCGCCCTGCGCTGGTTGATCTGCTCTCTGGCGTCCTGCAGGCGCCACTGGCTCGCCTGGAACTGGGCGAAGGCTCCCTCCTCCTCGGTGATCGCCGTCGCGCAGGCCTCGCCGCCGGTGCCTTCCTCCTCGCCTCCCCCCGCCGGCGCCGCTGTCAGCACGGTGCCTCTCCTCGTCGTCGCCGCTGCTCCGGGCCTGGGCATCCTCTCCGCCACCTGCTGCCGCAGAAGCTTTGACTTGCGACAGCCGCGGCCCTCCAAGTTCTCAGCGCTGGGCCACGGTGTCCGCAGAGCGACCCCCGCGCTCCCGGTCGAGAGTTCGCCACGACGACGATCCGAGCACCGCTGCGCTCCCTCCGCCGCCCGGGCCTGCTCGGTGCCAGGAGGGAGGCACCGCCCACGGACTGCGCCCGGAAGCACCCCAGGAAGGTCCCCCCTGACTCCAGATCCGCCCTACTTTGGCTTTTTTTCCAACTTCAAAAACTGCGTCGGAAATCCACCCATAAGAGGCCGACTTAGTAGGGCGGAGATTTCTGCACCCAACATAAAAGTAGGGCGGAAATCCCGAGAAGCAGGGCGGAAACGGCAACAGAAAAGCAGGGCGGAAATTTGCATCAGCGGGGCCTGAAAAAAGTAGGGCGGAAATTCCAAGCCCTACTTACGAGTTTCCCCAAAGTAGGGCGGATCCGGAGTCAGGGCCGGGTGGGGGAGGTGCACCGGCTGCCGCCATCTCGGTTTGGACCAGAGGCCCACTTCTGCCAGCCGCCGTCGCTCCGCCCAGCGTTGCTGTTCCGCCACGCCTGATCTCCCCACTTCCGGCCTGCTCCGGGAACGTGCCGGTCTCGAACCTCGGCCTCGACGTCTGCCTCTCCATCACAGGTGCCCTCTTCACCTGCGGTCGGTACCCTGTACCACGGAGCATCCGTCGTAGGCCACGGACTGAATGAGGCAGACTGGGTGTTGGGCTGTCTCCAAGGGACGAGGAAGCGTCCTTCCGAACCATTCTGGCGAGAGCCACTCGAAGACGCTGGTAAGATCTCGCGAACACGTAGGCAGGACTCGGCCGTGCCTTCACCGCGCCGACGGCGCAGCTGCACGAAGTATTCCTCCAATGTAGTGTCCGACGTTCTCGACTGGTTGTCGCATCACATTCTTCTGCAAGAATCCAGCAAGGTGTCCACGCTCTAAGAGGTGGACGACCAGCCGCGCGGCCGACCGGTGCAAGCCGTCGCAGCTGCTCCTGACAGTCAGGCGACCAACCTGGAGCCGCATAGGCATCTGTCCTGCCACTTGGTGCCGTCAACCTAACTTATCACATCTTGCTGGTACTTCTCTCAGGTACTAGCGCCACCATTCCACGTTGGCTCCGCATGGGACTTTGTCATCTCCACAGAGTGGAACCTGCTCCGCTACCATGTGAAGCGAAGCTTCATATCGTTGCGGCTGCCTCCACCTGGGTCCACCTGGGTGCCCTCCGGCACCGCACACTGCATGCGGATGAGTTGGGAGCGTGTGGGACAGGATGGAGTGTGGAGTGTAGGTATGGGGCTCAATGAATAGGATAAGACAGGGAAGACGAGGGGGGAACTCTTTCCCCCGAGGCTCCTCTGGCCCCGAGGAAGGCCTGCAGCCAAATGGCGATGGACAGGGCGAATCAAACCAACCTCGAGCAATCGACACCCTCCCCGCGCGGCTTCGGTCCGCCTCGATCTCGACTCTGCCCGCGGTAGGTTCGCGCCGTGTGCCGCCGCCGGCGTTTCACGGGAAAAACCGCCGGCGACCCAGAACCGGTCGATGTTGAACGATGTAACGTTTCGGAAACGGCCGATGGTTCAAGATTGACCGATCCCCGCACTACGAGAAAACGGAGGCAGCAGGATTTATCAAGTAGGCGTGTGGGCGCGGGAATCTGCAGCCCTTGCCTGCGTTCTCGGCGTCGTTTGCTCCTGGCCGAAGGCTGCCCTGGGCACGCCGACACCTGGAGGCTTGTGGTTCGTGGTTCATTGTGGGGGGTGTTCTTGTCGGGGTTGGGGAAAAAAAGATTGAACGATCCCCGCGGTGTCAGGAACCAATGCCCGGGGTCGACACGACGCGAACCTGCCGCAGCTCGGTCTGCTTCGATCCCTGACACCCCTCGCGTCGTGAAAAAGTTTCGGCGGGCTGCCATTTGCTATTTTCGGCCTCTGGGGGCCCTCGCCAGGCCTCGGGACCGTGATACAAAAATTCAGGATAACAGCCAGTCACGGGGATTGGGTCGAGACCTTTTTAGGTCGATGTTGCGAAAAAATCGCGACGTCGGGGGTTTGGGATCCCGCTGTGTTTGACGGTCCAGTGTGGTCCAATGCTCGCATCCCGGCGCAGCCGTTCCGATTCGGTCCGGCTTCCAGATACGATGCTCGGGAGGGTGGGCCGGACGGGGCTAGGGCGAGGATAAATGCGTTCCAGAGCGCTCCGGAATGCTCTTAGAGCCCTCCCCGGAACGCTCTGTGAAGGCCGCGGCGCCCGAGACCTCCTCCAGAACCGCTGGATCTCAGAGATTCTCTGTAGATCCGTACCCGATGTTATCCTCGTCCTGGCTTCGTCTTGGGGTGGAGGGAGCGGTCGGGCTGCTACATGGCCGTGGGAGAGGGAGGGCTGAACGTATGGAGGGAGGGATCGAGCAAGCAGAAGCTTGCGGCGGTCCGCGCGGATTTTCCTTGGTTCGCGGACCTCCGAACGTTTGTCCGTGTCGTTCCTCTGGGGGAGAGGCGGGGGTGATAGAAAGGGCAGAGGTCTCTGGGTCTTTCCCCGGGGCCCCCAGGCGCATCCGGAAGCTTCTGGGGGCCCCCCGAGGGCCTTCCGTCCGACGGACTGTGGAGGCCTCCGGAGGCCTCCGTGGGCGGGGGACGGGAGGGAAGAGGAGGAGGAGGAGGAGGAGGAGGAGGAGGAGGAGGAGGAGGAGGAGAGGAGGAGGAGGAGAGGAGGAGGAGGAGGAGGAGGAGGAGGAGGAGGAGGAGGAGGAGGAGGAGGAGGAAGGCGGAGGAGAAGGAGAGGAGGAGGAGGAGGAGGAGGAGGAGGAGGAGGGGAGGAGGAGGGAGGAGGAGGTGGTGGAGGAAGAGGAGGAGGAGAGGGAGGATAAGTATGAGAAGGAGGAGGAGGAGGAGGAGGAGGAGGAGGTGGTGGTGGTGGAGGAGGAGGAGGACAAAGAGGAGGAGGAGGAGGAGGGAGGAGGAGGAGGAGGAGGAGGAGGCGGAGGAGGAGGAGGAGGGAGGAGGAGGAGGAGGATTAGGGCGGAGGAGGAGGAGGAGGAGGGGAGGAGGAGGAGAGGAGGAGGAGGAGGAGGAGGAGGAGGAGGGAGCTCGGACAGAAACATTTCTCTCGGTGCCTAGCAGTGTGCTCGCCCCCCCGCCCAGCAGCAGGAGATCGGGCAGGAGCGGCTCGCCGCGCTGCCCGCGCTGGAGCGGGCGCTGCGCCAGGTGGACGCCGCCGAGGCCGAGTGCACCGCGGCGTGGGTCCAGCACGAGGCGGGGAGGCCTCCCTCGGAGGCAGGGTTCATCCCCGAAGAGGATCCCCCCTCCTCCTCCTCCTCCTCCCTCCTCCTCCTCCTCCTCCTCCTCCTCCTCCTCCTCCTCCTCCATCCTCCTCCTCCTCTTTCCTTATCCTCCCTCTCCTCCCCCTCCTCCTCCTCCTCCTCCTCCTCCTCCTCCTCCTCCTCCTCCTCCCTCCTCCTCCCTCCTCCCTACTCCTTCTCCCTCTCCCTTCCTCCTCCTCCTCCTCCTCCTCCTCCTCCCTCCTCCTCCTCTCTCTCCTCCTCCTCCTCCCCTCGCCTCCTCCTCCTCCTCCTCCTCCTCCTCCTCCCTGACCCTAGGGACCGCGACCTGTAGAGCTAGGACCACATCATGGATGGCATGGACACGCTGACGGCGACTTCGCGAAGGCACACCTATGAAAGTCAGCGGTGCTTCGACTCCGCCTGGCTCCCCTGGACTCCAGCTACATGAGGTCATTGCTGCTGCCGCCCCTGCAGGTCATACGTACAGAGAGAACCTCGTCTGCTCATCACGCTGGTGGTCTTCAATGTGTGGCCCTTGCTCCTGATGCTGCGCACGTGCCCCCTGGACTCCCGCCTACTACTGCCCTTGCTGAGCCAGCAACTCCTGCTCATCAGCCACCCGCTGCGCAAGAACTCTCTGCTGAGGGTGCTCCTGGAGAAGCTCAAGATCTGTTGGGTCCCTTGGCTGCTGGCACTGGGCCTACGGGTGTTGGGTTCAACGCGGGCGGGCTCTTGCTTTCGACCGCCCAGGCGCTCCAACTCGCATTAGAAGCTTTCGCTCGTTGCTGTTCGGTTTCGCCTTCGTCAACGGCGTCTCCCTCCTCGTCGGCGCCGCTTGCAAGCCCTCTAAATGCTGAGCGCCCATATGCGCTTTCGGCTGCCCGACGCGTTCGTACTCTTCGCGCATGGACGTCCTGTACCTTTTCGATCTCCTCGGGCAAGCGCGCGCTGGTGAGCTGGCTCTTAGACAACCCTGGCAACCTGCTCGAGGATGACATGGCACCGCAGGCTGAAGATGACGTTGACCCTCTACCTGACCCTGCTGTTCAGGACGCACTTGAGGCCGACCCTGCGTTCCTGGAGCTGTGCGCGGGGGCGGACTCCATGATAGGTGATCTGACGAGGAGAATGCAGCCCCCGAGCTGCTGGGCACTAGCCAAGGTGTAACGCTGGTTGCGCAAACTCTTCCTGGACACTTGCTGCCTGCTGCTCTTGCTGCGCGTGCACCCCCTGCGCATCTACCTCCTGCTGCTCGGGCTCCTCAAGCTGAGAACTGCGATCGCAATGCTCTCGGGGCCCGCTCCCTGGCGCGAATTGGCCACGTCATGAATCGAGTTGACCAAATTATCGGCGACTTCGAGGGCACTCCCGTTGTGTACGCTCGCTTCATTGGGCCCTTGCGACTGAGAGCCCAGTGGATCTTGCAGCGAGCTCCTCCTCGGATTGATGCTCTTGCTCTGGGTGCTGAACACGCTCATCCTAGACACCAGCCTCTTGCAGCATTCGCAGAACATGCGCCCCTGCACTAGCACTTCCTCCTGATGTTGCTGATCGGCACGACCGTGGTGAAGCTCAGGATGTGCTGGGCCCCTGGCTGCTGGCACTGGGCCTAGGAGTGTTGGGTTCAACTCGAGTGGGCACCTGCCCTCGACCGCGCTGGCGCTCCAACTCGCGCTAGAAGCTCTTGCTCGTCGATGTGCGATGTCGCTTCCATCATCTTCGTCTCCACCCTCGTCGACTTCGCTGGCGAACCCTCCGCAAGCTGAGCACCTAGATGTGCTTCCTGCTGGACAGCGCGCGCGTGCGCACGCCTTGGGCGCCCTGCACCCCGCGGCCTCCACGGACAAGCGCGAGATGGTGTGCTGGCTCTTGGACGACCACTGCAACCTGCCCGAAGATGACGATATGCTGATCGCTGACGAGGACGCTGACGCCGCCTGCGTCGCCACCGCCGCCGCCGACCGCCTCGCCGGGCCCCCGTGCGCCCCAGAGGGCGCGAAGCACGCCAGGATGTCGACCAAGATTGGTCGTTACGTTCGCACTCTTCGACGCCATCGTCTCACGGCCCGTCTTGAACAGCAAGGTGCAGCCCCGGCAGGGCTCTACGGCCATCAGCTCCATGGCGTCTCCGGGGCGCAACTGGCAGCAGTGCGCAGGCGGCAGGCGTCGGCAGCGGCCCTGCGGCTCACTGCGTGTTACAACTCTCCTCGACTTGGTCACTCCGAACAGAGACCCCGCTCACCGCCTCCCGTCCGAAACCCTACGGATGTGGATTAGAGCGTGGATCTCTGAACCTCATGTTCGAGGGGCCGTCGAACGCACCTGGCCAGGGCTAGTCCGGGAGTTGTCCGCTAGACCCGAGGCTCAGAGGTGTAGACGAGTGCGAGGACCCCAGGCTGCTGTCATCATTCACCTTCTCCAAGCCGGCTGGGGGCCCCACCGGCCTGCAGCTCGGGGCGTGCCAGATCGCACCAGCGGGCGTTTTTTTGTTTTTTTTTTTTTGTTTCAGTCAGACAGAATCGTTGACAGCACATGGGGCCACTGATGTCCCCAGTGAGTTCTTTCAAGAATTTCAGGGCTCCACGCAGGCAGATCCCTGGCGCAGGGCGGCGTTGCACTTCGGCGGCGCTGGGGTGGAAGACGGAGTCTGCAACTGCAGTTACGGGCAGCTGCTGAAGCAGCTAGAACAAGCACCTGGAGGCAGAAGGCTCGCGGGCCTGTTGCTCGCGGCTGCAGCGGGCGCTTCCTGGCCTCGTGCCAGGCGACAAACGCGTTGTAAAGCAGCAGCTATCGATCATGCGTGCACGATGCAATCAGGAAGAAGACTAGTTTTTATGTAATAGGGTGTGGGGTTGTCCGGCGAAGTCCAGCAGCCCAGCGCATCAACCCAGTGATCAGTATTCGGGCAAGGCCTACACTCAGGCCGAGGCGGACGAATGTTTCTGGACCAGAGGGCTCATCCCAGCCAAGTGGGTCGCAGTGGAACCGCCTCCAGAACACGAACGACGGTTTTCCAAGTTGAGTCTACAGTCGCTAATCTGGCCCCAGGGACAACCGAGAGACCTTGGTTTTGTTTCGGCGATGCGAGTGGCGGGAAAGATACCTAGTCGCCCGAGCTGCGTCGCGCGGGCATGGCGCTTGCGGTACATGACGAACTGGGCGAGAACAGGCAGACGGTCCGTGGTGGTTGGGCTGCTTTGCCAGGCGCGAGGCAAACCGTACCTCGTGGCGAGCCGTGCTGCCTTTGGTACGCGATCAGGACCGCATCAGTGCGGATGTTCTATGTGACGGACACTGCAGCAGTGCGTTTAGGCTGGCACGAGCAGCAGTGGCGATCACCAACGGGCAACGATGCGGATCTGTGGTACAGTATTGGGCGCGAGTTGCACGGCAGGAGTGAGATCGCGGTGATGTTCGTCGACTCCCATTTGGAGCTGGACCAGGCCTCTGCTCAGAATCCGCGGTCTTTCAGTGTGGGCAATCATGAGGCTGACCGCCTTGCCGCGTGCGGCGCCGAGCTGGGGCGCCTGACTGAGGCCGCCCGAGGGAAAGTGAAAACGTCGAGAGTATGGCCTTCGCTGTTAGGATGAGGATCCTCCAGCGCGCCCTCGAGGCCATCGCCGCTGAGGAACGTTTCGAGCGCGAATCTAGACAACGACGTAGGGGTCGTCGCGCCGAGACGAACGTTGTGAGGCAACCCGCGCCTAGTGTTTGTGCCGCTTTCGCCCCCCGCCATCAGTGGGGTGAGAATGGTCGTTCGTGCACTAGGTGTCGTGGTTCAGCGTCCCACGCCCGGAAAAATTATGACTTAAGTAATGTGGACGGCGAGGTGTTTGAACCTCCTCCTGGGGCCGAGGTGCACATTTCAGGGGGGGGGCTCACCCCTCGCACGTGCCCAGGTTTCACCAGAGGGTAAGGGTGTGGTTCTGTTATGTCTGCGGGTGTTTCGCGGCTGAACAGCTCGCGAAACTCAGTGAACAGTGTTCAGGCCGCCTCGATGGTAATCGCACTGATTACCACGGGCGAATCTACCAGGGTTTATGGCCCAAGGCCTTCAGCAAGGCCGAACTCGTAAAGAGGGCGGCTAAGCGGAAGCCAGTGTAGAGCCCTTTTAGCGACCCAGTCGCCTACTCCATAGCTCCATAGCTCCTCCCCCCATCCTCCTCCGCCTCCCTCTCCTCCTCCTCCTCCTCCTCCTCCTCCTCCTCCTCCTCCTCCTCCTCCTCCTCCTCCTCCTCCTCCTCCTCCTCCTCCTCCTCCTCCCTCTCCGAGGTGGCTCCCTGCGTGGCCCCCCCCCCCCCCCCCCCCCCCCCCCCTTCCCACCCGCAGCCTGTTTGCCCGCGGGGGGCGCGGGGCCCGTGCAATAGGGGGCCCCCAGCCCCAGGCGCTGCCTGGCGCGACGTGGCTGCCGCGAGCCTGCGCTCGCGAGGCGGCCGCGCCCTCAGTGGCCCTGGCGCAGCCAGAGGTCACCCCCCCTCGCCACGGAGTGCGGCCCAACCCGGTCGCGCTCTCCAGCGTGGCATCGACGACTACGACGCATCCGTGCGTCGGCGCGCCGCCGCTTGCGGCTCGCCGCCGACCACGGCGCCCTCTCGCGGCACCGCGGCTCCAGGCCCCCCGCCATGGGCAAAGCAGGGCGCGGCCGCAGCCGTGGTCCCCAGGAGGGCCGTGGCACAACGGGCCCTGGCGCGCCTGCTGGCACATGCGCTTGCGTTGCTAGCAGCCTGTGCGGGTTTCGCACCAACTTTCAGCAGAACGAGCGCTGCTACATGTGCGGCAGGGACAAGCTCGGCCGACCCGATCCGTCTGGTGCCGAGCCGCCTGGTGCCAAGCGACGCGCCCAGTCTGGCAGTAGGCAGTCGCGTGGGGCCCCCAGCAGCGCCCCGCCCCAAGACGCCGAGAGCGCCTCCACAGGCGGACAAGGTGAGCAAGATGACGTTGCTCGTGCCCGTAAGGCCCTTGCCGCCTTGC